TAGCAGATATTTTGTACGGATTTTTGGATACATGTATTATGTACTTATTTTGAAGGGGAGTATAAATCTTTGTAAATGCATACTATTCATGTCCCTAGTTCTGTACAAATGGCTGTGCAGGTCTGTCAATGCCACAGATCACAACTGTATAACCCTCTCTGCATGAATTCAGCCCAGGAGACTGCTGAGTGGCCCTGGCTGGGCAGTGACAGATTGAAGTACATGGTGTCTGGGCAGCCAGGACTCAGAGCAGCTCTACAGCGAAGTCTCGACTCTGGAGCGCCCCCTGGGTGCCAGTTCTCCTTCCCTCCCACCCAACTGACTGGCACTACTGTCAGCGACCAGCTCCCTTCCTCAAACCTCTTCCTTCTTTTCCCTGGTTCTTTTCAGCAGGTTCTAAAAGAGCAGACCCCTGACATACTACCAAATAATCAGAGAACATTTTTTTTTTCCGACAGAACAAAATGATTGATTAAAAAACCAAAATAATAGGTGTGTGATATTCAAAGATTTTCAGAAGCCTGGATGTCTGGGGCTGCCTACCGGACAGCCACATGTTTTACTGTGGATACCACTTACTTAGGGTTTCCCAAGTGCATTGATTGGCTTGAGCCACACGTTATCTACACTGACATCAGCTAAGCCGTTTTATCTGCCCTGAGGATTAAAGCCGGCAGCAGGTTTTGTTGGGGTCTCTGAAGAGGTGAGAGCTCTCTGCGGCCTTGTGTGGCCCCACCCCTGGGGAAACCTCCTGGTCAAGCCCTGAAAGGCTGAAGGGTCTACCCAGTGTCTTGTTTGAATAGAGAGAGAGAGTCCTTCCCGGCTGAATTTAAAGAGACTTTCACAGGCAGTAAAAAGCATCCTAGGAAGCACTTTCCTGAGTTTACCCAAAGCTCAGGCTCCTGACTTTTTCCCTTGCAGGAACCTGGCAGACAGGTCAGCAGCAGCAGCCCTGGCTTATTCCTCAAGTTCACCGGGGACAATGGCCTTAAACAAATGTTGGGTCCTCAACCTCTGAGAACATTATGAAAACCATGGAATTTTCCCCTTAGAAAAAGACATACAGACAAACTTTTGGAAATGATTTCAGAGACTGCACAGACCTTCTGCTCAGCTGTTCTACTGCGACCCCCAAAGACCATGGCTCCGGGATATGTCTGGTCTGAGGGAACCATTTCACCTCCAGATTACTCTTCACTGAGAGAAGGGAAGCCAGTCCACCAAGAAGCAGGGGAGGAACAAACACCACTTGCTTTTCGGAGCTGCTCTTCCACATCGTGGAGAGTAAAGCACCAGAATTGATTCCTGGCCCCTCCCAGCGTCCCTTCCAGTCCACAGGGGCAGCTGCCCGCGGGGATGTCCCTATGTCATACTCACCAGGAGGAAAGGGCCCTTGGCTGCCCAGTCCCGGGAGCTGCCGGAGCCGTACTCTTTGCCGGCCAGAACAATCAGGGGAAGGCCCGCCTGCTGGTACCGCTCAGCGGCATCAAACACATCAAGCTGAGGAAGAGAAAGGGGAGGTATTACAGATGTAGCAAAGGCACAGAGTGCAGACACAGGCCAGGGAGACCTGGTGGGGTGTGCAGGGTCAGAGGTCTGCAGTGAGCCAGGTCAACGCAAAGCCAACGGAAAACTCAGCCAACCTATAGGTTGGTCTACAGATGCCTGGTCTACAGATTCCCAATGAGCTCCATCTATCTACACTGACCAAATTATATTTTACTAGAGGCCTGGTGCACGGATTTGTGCACATTGAAAAGAAATTAATTAAAAGGTGGCTGGCGGGGCGGGACTGGGCTAGACAGGCTGGACATGCCCTGGAGCCAACTCCTGAAGTCCCTCCCAGGCCAGCCGCACCTGGGGCGGTGCCAGGGCTTGAAGGGCATCTGCGGAGTGAGCGGGGTCCCTCCGGCAGGTGGGGTCCCTTGGCCTACCCTGTCCGACATCCCCCCGAGGGGTCCCAGAGTGTGAGAGGGCACTCTGCAAAGTTGCTGTCGCTCGGCAGCTCCTGCGTTGAACATCTGCCCCCTTGTGGTCAGTGAGTGTCATCCCTACTGACAGGTCAGCTGGTCACTTAGTCTTTTATAAATATAGATATTCTCTTAACTGAAATGGTTGATTGAGAGGGTTTTAGAAAAATTTCAATTTTTGAGTATCTGAATGTGTTATGACTTTAATTTCATTTGAGTGGGGTGTGAAGGACAGGAGTGTAAGGGAGAAATCAGTCTAAGTTCCCAGTGTTGCTTCGGCACCTCTGATCTCCGGCATATTGTATATAACCTGTTTTAGCTTCTCCAGGAGTTTCTAGATCTTCTCCTTTTTAAAATCCTCACCCGAAGATATGTTCAGAGAGAGAGAGGAAGGGAGAGAGAAACACTGATGTGAGAGAGAAACATCGATCAGTTGCCTCCTTGACTGGCGCCAGGGATGGAATCCGAAACCTAGGCATGCGCCCTGACCAGGTATGGAACCCGTGACCCTTCGGTGCAGGGGAAGATGCTCTAATGAACTGAGCTGCCCTGGCCAGACCTCCGCTGATCTTAACTTCCCAGGGATGTGCCTGGCGCAGGTCATCTTCAGTCACTCTGCTGGGCACTCAGCGGCCCTTTCAATCTGGAGTCTTCGATCCGGCAGTCGAGAATTTCCCTTATGTTGGTGTGTGAGAACTTCCTCTCTTCTCTTTTCAGTATCTCTGTGCAGTCAGATGTTGGGCTTCCTCAGTTCAGTCTTTACTTTTCTCAGTTTCTCTCTAATTTCTCCTTTATCTTTCTGTTCTATATTTTGAGAGATTTTTTTCAACTAACCAACTTTTCCTGTGAAATTTTTAGGGATTTTTTTTTAAAAAATTCAAAGAACTCTTTCTTGCCCTCTAATTACTTTACAGCAGGGGTGGGGAACGTCTGTCCCATGGGCCGTATATAAGGCCCACAAAATCATTTAGTCAGGCCCTGCCAAGGCATCAGGGTGAGTTAATTAGATGTTTGACCAAACACAGCAGGCTGCTTTTTAAGTCGATAATTCTGTATGGCCTGCGAATGATGTTATAAATATCCAAATGGCACTTGGCAGAAAAAAGGTTCCCCACCCCTGCTTTACAGCAACAGGAAACCATCTCATCACTCTGAAGAAACAATGTTTTTTTCTGTTTTCCTCTATTCTTTGCATCATCTGTTTTCTCTCCCTTCCTCCCTGTCCTTGGCCTAGGTCTATCTTTCGAGTTCAAGGGTTGGCTCAAATGCCCGTCCTTCTCTGCTTCTGTCTCCTCATTTAAGAGGCACCGAACATCTGACTGAAAGTTCTGCCATGGTGGGGTTCGCAAGTAAGTGACGTTCACCGGAACAGTCAGGACCCGGAGGCCCCGATGTCTGCCGCCCCAAGGCCTCCCCTCGGTCTCTTGCGCATCCCACCATTTAACGGTATCTTTTTCATCGAATAGTTTGCTCATTATCCCTGATTCACTGAACATTACTGGGCACTGGCTCTGAGCTGGTCCTGGTGACCAGTGACTGTCTATGAAGAGACTTTACAAAAACATTATCAGCTGCAGGTGAGGCAGTGGGTGTGGTGGCAAGCAGCACTGGCTTCGAAGCCAGACTCCCTGGGTTTAAACTCAGTTTCTCTACTTGTGGCCTTAGGGATATATGAGCTCTCGATGCCGTGGTTCCCAATTTAAAATGTGGGTAACACCCTAACCGGTTTGGCTCAGTGGATAGAGTGTTGGCCTGCGGACTGAAGGGTCCCAGGTTCAATTCCGGTCAAGGGCATGTACCTTGGTTGCGGGCACATCCCCAGTAGTGGGTGTGCAGGAGGCAGCTGATGGATGTTTCTCTCTCATCGATATTTCTAACTCTCTATCCCTCTCCCTTCCTCTCTGTTAAAAATCAACAAAATATATTTAAACAAATAAAAAATAAAAAGTGGGTAACTATGGTACCCACTTCAAAGTGTTGTTACGAGTATTAAATTAGACAATGCATGCAGACAGCTTAGAACAGTACCCGAGACATAGTAAGTTCTACATAAATATTAGCTGTTATTGTTTTAAAATAGGTTGGGAAGGTTATTTCGCAAGTGGTCTCGCTCGTTTCCAGCAGCTTCGCCACATTTCCTGGGAAGGGAAGTGACACTGCGGACCAGACACCAGACTAGCTGTTTCACATGTCCCTCCGTTTACGTTTTAGCCTCAGAGCCTGCCGAGGTAGATAGAACAGTATTTCTGCTTCACAGGTAAGAACGCTCAGGCTCAGCGGGAAATGCATTGCTGGGAGCTCCCCAGCTGGTGTGAGGTGGAGCTGGGACTTGAACCCGGGCTTGTCCGACTCAAAGGGCAGGCTTTCCCGGCCTCTCTCAGGCCTCCCAGCAGACAATCCCACTGTAGCAGGCCCACCTACGGGTTCCCTACAGGACCCGAGCCGGCCTCCACGTTCCTTCTCTCCTCCTGTGGTGGTGAACTCAACTAAATGCCAATACAGTCCTAAAGCAGCACTTCTGGGTAAACACCCTCTACCCTACCCTGAATCTCCCCTCCAACTCTCTGAACTCGTGCATTTCACTCAAAGGCTCTGGAAGCTCAACTCCAGGAAAGCGGATTTAGTCAGGCCAAAGGCAGGACCTCTGAGCAGGACGAGGTTTCCCAGGTTAAAGGGCGTCCCCATCTCTGATGAGCTCCACATGGACACCTGGCGAGACCGCAGGAAGCCAGAGGCAGGAGGGGCAGGGAAGGAGCTAAGAGCGAAGGAAAGTGACCGACCGGGTAGACACCCAAGCAGCAGGGCCAGACGAGGTCACCATACTCACCACTTCTCCAGAAGGCAGGTGTATCGTCTGCGGTGCCTGCTTGTTCAAAAATTTGTTCAGTAAGCGGATGTTGGCAAAGGTGCCCCGAGCCATGATGGCATCGTTGCCCCGGCGGGAGCCGTAGGAGTTGAATTCCCGCGGAGTCAGGCTGCCAAGGCAAGAGGGAGGGGAGCCGGCTGAGTGAACGGGTGAAGATGGCCTTCACTTACACCAAGAAGGGAAAAACAGAAACCTCAGTATTCCTCTCATCTACCAAGAATGCCCTCCCGGGCAGCAAGCTGTTCCCATAGCCTCAGTGAGGCAGCTGGAGGTGCAATCCCCAACCTCCCTCTGGGGTGGGAAGGTGGAACTAAATGTTATCCCAGGCCAACCTCCGTCTTATAAATCTGGGTAGAAAAGTAGGAGGAACTCTAATAAGAGTATTTATTGATTTATTCAGTACGGAAGCTTTAAGGTTTCACAAAAATTAAAATATGACAAATGGGTAAGAAAGCCCTGGCCAGGTGGTTGGTTGGAGGGTTGTCCTGTTCACCAAAGGGCCGTGGGTTCAATCCCCACTCTGGGCACATCCGGGAGGCCAAGGATCGATGCTTCTCTCTCACATCGATGTTTCTCTCTCTCCCTTTTTTCCTCTTTCTCTAAAATCGGTAAACATAGGCTTGGGTGAGGCTTAAAAATAAATGGGTAAGAAAAAGAAGTAAAGACGAATAATCTAAGTAAGTTGGTCAGGGGTCAGGTGGAGCCCAAAATGGGGGAAACATAAAATATGTCCCATAAGCTAACCAGAAGGGGGTTCCGATTTGTCCCCCAGTTATCAGGAACTGGACTGAAAGGGAAGACACACAACTGGCAGCAGGATTTACAATTTCATAAGATAGAAACCAGAGCAGTACCCAGGAGGCAGAACAGCTATCCCTCCGTCCTGTGATCAGAGAGAACCCTGGTCAGAGGGACGTTAGAACGTCAGAGACAACATTTTACTACGAACACAGTGACCCCTTCACTGGGCTGCACCTTAAAATGCTGGGAAATGAGTGTGAGTGTTAATGTGATTTAAAGGTTAGATCTAATTGAGGACCGAGTGAACCTATAAATGGGTTTCAGGAGCAACTAAAATGATATCCAAGATGTTATGATATGTGCATTTTTCTGGGAAGGTATTATATTTGCTTTTACTCAGTTCCCTAGAGTCCATGTCTCAAAAGAGGTCACCAATCACCAATCAAAACAAGGTGTTGGATTTTGTTCCTCGAATTGGCTCTGGGCCCCATCGCAGAGGAAGCTGATCCGGGAGGTGGGAGGGGAACCAGGAGTCTTTATCTCCCCAGATGATTCTCATGGAAAGCGAGAGTCGGGACCGACTTTGATTAATACGGGTCTACTAGCTAACAGCAGATAACCCTGGTGTAGTACCTGTTAAAATCGGTGCATGACTGAGGACTGCTGATGAGTGTGTGAACTGCCAGTCTTAGAAGCAGTTCTCTGTAAAGACTATGTCATAACCGGGAACGGCAATGCAGTTCACGTTATGTTTCTGCTGAGCAGTTCAAGTGCAGCCAGGCTCTGCCGCGGTTAAAAGCAGACCCTTGTGCTTTATCTACTTGGCAAGCCAGGGCAGAAATGATAGTTGAGCCGAATGTGCACAATACTTGCTCGAAGATTGTCCCCTCTCCCCCTGACAGGGCTCACGGGATGATGGATTCACCCATAGAAGCTTCGAAGCAGCAAACAAAAGACTGACTGGTTTCCAAGCACCAGGGTTCGGTGAAGAGCCACAGTCTGCTTCCAACAGGACCAGGCGGAAGAGCAATGCTGGCCTAGTCCCTCCCTGCCGCCTTCGGTCGGTCCTCAGCTCCCACCTCACTCACACTTACCCTCTGTTAGTTAAGTAGCGAGCAGCAGGGCTGTTTCTTGCAATGTTTCCAGCCGGAGAGATATGGTCAGTTGTTACTGAATCTCCCAAATTCAGCAGCACATAGGCATCCACAATAGATCTAGCGGGCTGCGGCTTCAGCATCTAGCGGAGAACACAACAAGTCAGCCCAGCCAGTGTGCCCCGTGCACCAAGAGGCCGCTGGTTCAGTTCCCGGTCAGGGCACATGCGCGGGGTTTTGTGCTTGATCCCTGGTGGGGGGTGTGCAGGAGGCAGCCGATCAATGATTCTCTCTCATTGATATTTTTATCTCTCTCTCCTTCCTCGCTCCCTAAAAATCAATAGAAATATATTAAAAAAAAAAAAAAGAACATAAGTAGGGTTGGCCAGGTTTCCTCCAACAAGTCACAAGGGAAGTCTCAAGAGTGGAGCTCTGTGGACCTGAACCAGGGGACAGCCCTAATCAGTGCACAGGAAATTCTAGGGTGTTTTGTTTTTTCTTTTCAATTTTATCAGGGGTGCTTAGAAAAGTAAGGTGATTTTACTCCAAACACTTACATCTCACCCTTGGAGGGAAGGAGGACTGGCCCTGTCCCCTCCAAAGCAACAGGGTGCAGCTGCAAGTGGCATTCTCTCTCTCCACGTGCACAGAACTCTGACTTCTATCCCATCCCCCCCGCCCCCCAGAGGGCAGCAAGGACGCCTTGTCTGAGTGGGTCTCAGGGGAAGGATGCAGGCCCTGCATGCTCCCTGGAACAGCCCTCCGACTTCACCAAGACCACGCCCAGGTGGCATCTGATCCCCAGGTGTCTCTACACAGCCACACACAAGCCCTGGCAGGAAACTGAGGTCTCACTCCAGCCAATCTCCCAGATTCCCCAAACCCTCCCTCATGACATTTGCTTGGGTTTGTGGAGGTTTGAATGAAATAGGTGGTGAAAACAAGGGCCTGGGATAATAAAGTAGATGTTATAAGGAAAGAAACCTTTTGAAGAATTCAGTTTGTTAAAAATAAAGTCATACCAGGTTTTCAAAGAATGGTGGTGACTTAATGTAGGTAGATTTGGGATTCCAGTAATACAGCGTATCTGACGGGGCTGCTAAGGCATTCCAGCTTTCATTCACAGTCTTTAGAAAAAAAGAAAAAAAAAGGGCCAATCCAATTACATTCTATTACAAGGAAAATTCAACACATAAACATATAACACACATTCGAGCTACGAGTAGAATAAAAACCATTCTTATTCTAGTCATACAAAAGAATTCCTTTATACGAAGACAGTGACATGCTAAATAACTTAACAATACATGTGCACTATGACAGGCAGCCCCCAAAGATCCCAGCTGCCCCCACCCCCGATTCACACCCTAAAGGGAGCCCCTCCTGCTGAGTATGGGCTGAACGTAGTGACTTATTTCCAAGGTTAGGTTATGAAGAGACTCTGCCTTCTATGTCCCTCAGCCTCTCCTGCTTCCTCACTTGCTTGCCCTGAGGGTGTCAGCTGCCAGGCTGTGAGCTGTGCAGAGACCACCAGCAAGGCCTCTGGCTGATGGTCATGAGGAACTGAGGCTCCTGAGGCGCTGATCCCACCACACCGGTGAGTGCCCTTACGAGTGCAGCGCCCCAGCTGACATCTGACGGGAGCCTTGAGAAGGCAGAGCCCCCAGTTAAGCCACACACGGACCCACAGACTGTGAGATAATAAATGCGTGCTGCTTTAACCCACAAAGTTTCGGGGTAATTTGTCGTACAGCAAGAGATAACTATTCCATATACTTACAAATTAAGAAAAAATAATCCAGATTTGTACGGAAGGGGAAATCATTTACTCTCTGAAGATTTGGGGAAGTAGATTTCCAAGTCACATGGTCATTGGATAGCCAATCACAGCTGCTTTGCATACAAATTAGCTTGAAATCTCTCCACAGGTCCTTTAGCTCAGCCTCTGAATGCATGCATTTCATGCAATGCCCACCAAACTCCCACAGACCATTCATTTCCCAAGGGCCGCTGGGGGGAGGGCACAGCCCCCAGGCCTCCGGAGAGCCTGCTGTCTTGTTTCAAACCCAAGCCCTTGTCAGCAGGCTGTGAGTCAGCTTAACACAGAAAGCAGGGAAAGAAATAACATCCAAGGGTCTCAACAAACAACACTAAGCCCTATACATTTTATCCCTATTCGTAAAACGCCCAAAGAGTTTCATTTATTTAAGCAGTTCGGTGCTTTCTACTGAGTGGCTTTTATTTATTTGTTTGCTTGTTTGGTTATTTATTTATTCTTAAGCATCCAAATAATTGGGAGAGGTGCACTCCCCCAACCGACTCCACCTCAGTGACACCACCTCAGTGACACCCACAGGGACGCCACAGCCCAGGGGTCTGAGAAAGGGAGAGCGATGGGGAGCTGGCTGGGACTCACACACAACCTGAGGCCTTTCTTCCCGTCCACCTGTCTCAACCTGGAACATCTGGGGCGTGTGGGGTTTGTAAAACTGTGAGTCACAGGAGAAAAATGACTGAGAGCCACTTCCCTACTCTCTGAAGAGGGAGGAATGAACCGGTTCCACTCCTATGAGCCTCCAAGTCTGCAGAGAGGACACAGAGGAGCAGCTCTCCCTCAGACTCTCAGGGCGGGGAGGGGCGGGCGGGCGGGCCCTCACCTCTATTTTCTGATAGACCTCCTTGAACATCCCAGGGATGACGTACTGACGCTCCACCGCCTGGATCTCATCTCTCGTTGGCCAGATATCCTTCAGAAACACCTGCTGTCCCTTTGCATTCACTCCTGGGGGAGAAATGTTTATTAATGAGAAAACTTCATTTAACAGCCTTTTTCTTTATTCCACACAGTCGAGTCTTGTTCTTGGCGGCAGTTCTATCTATCAAGTCCATGCCGACACTGCAGGGTGAACCCTAAATCACGGCCCCGAGGAAACACAGGGCAGGTGTCAGAGCCTCGGCCACAACATTTCGGTCAGCTGCTCAGCATATAACCTGGCTTTCTGTGTTTCGTTTATAGACGCCTTAGTTAATAGATGTTGTTGATGCATTAACATCGAACTCCCTGCCAAGGGCATGATGAGCCGTGCCTGATGAAGCCTACCTAGCACGAGACACCTCACAGGCTCCCTGGCTCAGGGACACGAGGCAGCACGTCCGCACTCTACTTGGGGGCCGTCAGTGACATCACCTACAGGCAGCACAACAATGCAAACACCCTGGCACGAGTAGACCATGAACAGGTCACTCAGTTACAGGACGACAGCTGAGGTAAGAAGGCGGGGGGCTGCCTCATGTGACTTCAGCTGAGAAGGTTTCCCCGCTCTGTGCGTGCCTGTGAATGGTCTCAGAAGCATGATGAGCATTGACGTGGGGGATAAAATACATTTTAGTGGACAGGCAAATTTGGGAATATGGGATACACAGTAATGAGTCCCACCTGTACCGCTAAGTTATAATTTCCTAGAGGTCAACTGAAAGGGCACTGTTTTCATATAATCTAATTTGCATACAGTGAATTGAGAAGGGGGATAGGAAGCAAGAAAACCAGAGGCAAGGAGACAAAGCATCCTTTTCTCTGAATCTGGGGAGGTTAAACTATCTGAAGGTGTTCCCACAGAGGGCATATTTAAGCAATGCCTATCATTAGATTAACGCAGGAGACGGAGAAGGGGACTGGAGAAGCTGTCAGAGGAGCAAGCTCTCTATTACTCTCTGTACTTCTTTTCTGTCATCTCTTGCTCTTACGTACATCCTTATTTATGTCAGTTATGTCTGGCTGTGTGTTGAGGAATAAAGAAAAGACTCTCCTCCCTTTTCATCTTACCTCTGGCAGTTCTAGGCTTCATTATTTATTAAGGAAAGCACTAGTTCTCTTCCAATTATATTTTCAAATTCATTGGGGGAAAATTATAACCCCATAAACCAAGCCTTACCCAGTGGCTCTTTCTCAAAGTCGATCTTGATGGTCCCAGCAATTGCATACGCTATCACTAAGGGCGGAGAGGCTAAATAGTTGGCCCGGGTATTGGGGTGGACTCGACCTTCAAAATTCCTGTTCCCAGAGAGCACTCCGACAGCGACAAGGTCTCCCTGTGTGAGGCGAGAGAGGAGTCAGGTCACAGGGAACAAGATTGCCCCGGTGGCTCGTTTTAGGCCATTTGCTGAGTTTTCCCATCACCAGGACATAGCTCTTCAAGCTTCCCTTGCCCTGGTCCTCTCCTCTACAGGAGAGCACACGGGGGTGTCCCTGGGGAAGACCATCCGTGTCCAAAGACACAGAGAGACACGGTCACTAGTTTCTGCTCATGAGGAGATGCCAGGTAGGTCAGGAGGCAACGTCCTAGTTATGTTGCTGCCTGGGGCCTAAGAGCAGGTGGGGATGACCAAAAGTTAAAGCTACAGGCAGCCACACTGACTTACATGGATTCTGTAGTTCACACAAAGCAAACCTAATGGCATTTGTCAACGCTGCAGAATTCATGGGACAAAACCTAAGCCCATGCAAGTGAGTTTAGATTCATGTGGGTGGAGACCTCTCTGACTTGGAACCAGTTTTCAGATTAAATAATCTGGAGTCAGAACTTGCATTCATCCCCACTTGTGTCCAGGCGCCACACTGTCTTTGATGTCCATTCTCATCTGGATGCCCACAGGCTGTGAAACGGTACTATTTACCACCTCCAGTGTACAGTCGTGACCACGCAGGTAAAGAGAGGCTCGTTAACTTGCCCCAGGTTATCTAACGAGTAAGTTCAGCTGGACTTCAAGGGCCATACATCCAACCACATCCCCTGCTTCCCTAAACCTTCTTGAAATGACCAGTGTTTCGGTCACACATCACAGGAGAAGAGGCCACAGCTCTGAAGACCCACAGGCCCTTAGTTACCTGCGTGATGGCTTCCACCACAGGCTCAGGCAAGGGCCCGCTGTTGCCAATGCAGGTCATGCACCCATAGCCCACGACATCAAACCTAGAAGACAAGGCAGAATTCTCAGTGCGCCCTCTGCTGGAACAGCCCCCGCAGAGCGCTGACTTAAAGAGGAGAGCGGCTCACGAAATAAGCCTGGGACAGTGCCGCTCCTTTAACGCGTTCATTCCCGGAGCATTTTGATACATTATTCATCCATTCTAGATCATTCCATTAGACTCCCTTTTGAGTCAATTATAAAAATAAGTCTAAGTGAAAGTAAGTGAAAGTGGAAATCGGATATGCCACTTCTTGTCTCTATTCACTATTTTTATCACATATTCCTAAGGGTTTCTGAACATGAATAAAACCTGTCATCCGAATTAGGAATAATGGGGAAGCTGGGAAAACTGTATCTGGAGACAAATAAAACTAAAGTACCTGAGGAAAGAGAACATCTCAGCCAGGGTAAAAGGGCAGCTCTCCGTGCGGAGCCAACGCTGGCCCCCGGCACAGGGAGGGAGCAGCACCCACCAACAGGCTGGGTTCCCTGCCCTGCGCTGCCCTTCGCGGGCACCTTCGTATGATGAACCGCTAGTGCAATCGAGGGTCCTACTCTGTGGGAATGTGAGGGTTTAAGCTCACTCACCATCGACAAAATACTACGGAACTGGATACCATCGGATGAGCTTACGTCAGTCACAGGTGACACAGCAAGATAATGTGGAAGACGACACAACAAAGGCAACGGCGTGAAAGAAAACGCCCCCTCACCCCAGCTGGGACAGGTACGGCATGACCCCGCTCTCCCGCAGGTAGTAGGTGACCACGCCGCTCCCCGGAGACAGGCTCGTTTTGATGTAAGGCTTCACGGTCAGGCCGGCGTCCACGGCTTTCTTGGCTAACAAGCCTGCGGGTGGTAAACACAGACACGTGTGGTGGCCGCCTACTCCAGGTACCGGGGACATTCGAGGACGACACTGGCTCTTCAGTCTGCATTTCCGGCCCCTGCCAGACCAAGCCCCGTTCCTGTGGGCGCTTTCTGCTATTTCTGCTGCTTATTAGAAATGCAGAGCTCACTGGCCAAGTCACTCACATGTGTGCAGTAAACTCAAACGCGGCCATGGAAGTGAAGAAAGAGATGTGTGTGTGTGTGTGTGTGTGTGTGTGTGTGTGCATGTGTGTGTGTGTTTTAAGCGATACACTGTTTAGGGATATGTTATAAAACGAGTTTTTAATTTGGGGAGGGAGAGCAATCTTTCTAAATATGTTTTATTTGGATGAAAATTCTAATCGGAAGGGCCCTTCTTAAGGCATCTGAATGGTGCACTGGCTGGTGAGTACAGTCGGTCTAGATGTAAAAATGTCTTAAAGCGGAAGATCAGGAGCTCCTGGGCCACAAGACTTCCACAAACACAGCCCATTGCAAGGGCCCTGGGCCCTGGGGCCCTGGGTGCTCTGTCTGAGGCTGTATCACAGAAGCAGAAAGAAATGAGGAGAGGGGTGTGAAGACAGAAAGCTACAGACACGCTGGTGACTGCTCTTGAGGAGCCCGGTCAGCTTAGCTGGCAACAGCTGACTCCTTGGTTTTCCTGTGCACTGTCCAGCTCATAAGGAAAGGGCTGTTGTAACTCCATCATCTATGGACATGCAGCTCAACAGGAACTGTGGGGGATGCTCAGAAATGTGGAAACTTAAAGACCTTACAGTAACAAAAGTCTGGATGCAAATGTTAGCTACTTAATCAGAATTGCAGACAAGGCCTGTGCCCTAACTCAGGTGCCAGTGACAAGGAATCTAAGCCTGAATTCCACTGAACAAAAGGGCTCAGCAGGGGTGGTACAGAGACCAGACTGCGACGGGAAATTAGTTCTTTTCTTCTAAAGTCTGACATAAGGTTCTGGGCTTTACCAGAAATCCATCTTCTTTTGCTTCCTTCTACTTATTTTCGGTGTTAATTCTAACCACATTTATGCATTATTTGTTCCACTTTAAATACTTTGCTTTGGACACTATTTGTAAACATTTCTGGGCCAATAAATTCCTACATCTGGGAAAGGAAAGGTTCAGGGAACCACATGCTGAGCCCCTGGGTCGTGTCTTGGGGGATTTCCACCCTCATGTCCACATGACCACGAGGAGGGTTTCAAACGCGCTCACCTGCCCCTAGCATCACGGACGGATTGCTGGTATTCGTGCAGCTAGTGATGGCAGCGATGACCACAGAGCCGTGAGCGAGGGTGAATTCGCTGTTGTTGTAGATAAACGTCTTATGGTCGTCATGATGGTTCGGAGCAACTTGGAACCCTTTAAACCCTTGCTACAGGAAGAAAAAAATAGATATTTTTTCAAAACTTCTCACTTTAAAAGATGAAGAAATACTTTGGGAACTGTAACATTAAAGGGCAATTCTTAACAAAACATAAATATCTTGGCCAATGAAATCCAAAATGCTACAGTAAAAGTAAAGTTTTCTTTAGTCTTTTAAAACCTTTACAAACAGCAGCCATAATTCTAAATCTTACTCTTGCTTTGAAATTAGCAATTACTTCCTTTCTACCTGAAGACCGGAAATGTTAAAACTACAAATTTAGTTTAAAGTTAGTCTCAGTAGAATTCGATGACATTATTATAGTTTAATGAGGTCACTGATTCTAACCAGATGGAAATTTAGGAAAAGGGGACATTTGGGTCAGAATCAGCCAATCAAGTGCCACGAAGGTTCCAGTGAAGGAGAGATGCCTGTCTGCTCTGAGCCGGAGGCCACCTTGCGAGCAGGGAACGGAAGGAACAGAAGCACAAGGGCCAGCCAAGCGTGGCGCGTACAGGGAAGGGTGTGGGAGCGTCATGTGAAGGCACATATGCTCTCAAAGGTGGTTTGGCTTATGCTCACACACGGCCAAGTGCTCCCAGGAGGCTGCTTGGCCACTGGCTGGTGGGGAGGCACTGAGGACGTCAAGATGGAGAGGACACGCCCCCTTGGCCAGGCTTCCGGAGGAGTCATCTCGGAGGGGGGTGCACTGAAGCCTGGCCCTAGATGACCGAGCGTGGGGCGGGCGGGGTGGGGAGGGCCTCCACCTGCTTCCGGCACTGACCTTGGCTCCGAGGCAGCTCTCAAAGTCCTTCCTCATGTCGGACACGGCGACTTTGTCCTGAGGCCGCTTGGGTCCGCTGCAGCAAGGCACTACCGTTTTCAAGTCTAACTCCACCACCTGCCGCCCCGGGAAGGAAAGGAAACGTGGAACCAACGTTACACCCACACAGAAACAGCATAAGCCATGTCAGAGATCTCAAAGCCCTGCAACAGTAAAAACCAACTACACCACCCCATTCAAAGCCAGGGAGGTCAGTGTGCGTTTCAACTCCTAAGGGATGAATCTCCAAAGATGAAGATGGACCCGCAGGCAGCGTGGGGCAGCAGGCAGCCGTGCTGCTCTCAGGAAGAGCAGGGTGGGCATGTGGCTGCTGCCCAGCGCCTTCCAGCCAGCCATCTTTGAAAAGCAGCTCCTACATCCTTTTCATTTTAAGTTGATCTGGGATGGGTTTTCTATTGAAATGATACATCATCCACTGTACTTTTTCTAAGATGATTTGGGAGGGATGCAGCCATCAAGTCATCAATGCCAGGAAGCGGGCCCTAGTCTACTGCAGCACTTCCTTCCCTTGGTGTCATATGAAGGTAAATGAGGGCCCCACCTAGTGTGCCCTCGGCTCCTGGCTGCTGAGAAAAGTGTGGATTCAGTTAGCACCCCAGAAAATGAATGAAGGCTTAGTCACTGGATAAATCAGAACTAGTTGGCCTCCATTTCTTTGCCATCTATATATTTAAAAGGCTAATATTCTAAGTCTGTCCGGGTAATGATGTCACATAGCAATGCCCGGCTTCCTCTTCCTAGCAACTAGCCTCCTTGGAGTTTCTTCAGCCCAGGAACACGACTTGCTTTATAGCCAGGTGCAAACATTTTACAATTTAACCAAATGTCTGTGAAGCGTTTTCCCATGCCTCATCTCATTTGATCCTCACAGAAGGCCTGGAGTAGGTAGATAGGAGACTCGGTAGAATCCTATTTTCTTTTCATTAGCCAGAAAAGAGAGATTTAGAAAGCTTAGAAACTTGACCCAACTGAAAAGAAGTAAGAAATGGAGGACCTTGAAAATGACTTCAGGTTTTCTCACTGCACAGAATATAGTCAAACACTGCTGCAGTTAAATATTTTACCGTTTGCTCTCCCTGCATGATCTACAATAATAATCTGCTTCGTGTTGATATTTACTGCTTTGTTGCTGACAATTACCTGAAAGAGAAGTTGGGGTGCTTCACTGGGCTGGAAAAAGTTTAGCTAAATCAGAAAGCAGGTCTAATTAAGCAAGTTTATTCTTATCTATAAAAGGCTAAGTTGACTCGCACATCGAGATACATATAAAGCTCTTGCTGGTGCCAATCGCGCGTGCATGTGTGTGTGTGTGTGTGTGTGTCCATCTGTCATTGTCGATTGTGAATTAGGTTGACACTTCTGTTATAGAGAAAGGGCGAATAGTGAGGTTAAAATGTTTCTTCTAATTAATTTCCTTTCAATGTGCACGGATTCATGCACCAGGCCACTAGTCTTTAATAAGGATGAGCTTAACCTTTAGTCCTCCTCTACCAATTTTCTACAAGTGCACCCCCCAAGAAAAACCATGCAGCACTAAAATCACGCCTCAGGAAGAGGAAACACAAGTCCCGAGATGGCGCTCTCATACCTCGGCAAAGTCTGGGTCCTGGGAAGAGTCATTGAAATCCCGAAACATTCCTACAGCCTGCAGATACCTCTTAATGTACTTGACCTTCTCTTCATCACGACCTGGGTGGGCATTTTAAGAGGAAACAAGCTCTGGTTAAAGACTATAAGCTGCTGCCTCCACCAGCAATTATACAGTGATAGCACTTCACTTTCACACGGTAGGCCTGCTGATGCCACAGCACTCAGGCCACTAGTCTGACTCTAGCCGATCTGCTGTTCCCTGTGGACTTTTAACTGACCTGTGGTTCCTAAGGAAGAGGCTATGAGAGTCTCCTCCTACCTGTAAGCACTCCCCCTTCTCTTTATTATGCTCCTCAATTAGGAGCATCCTAGGCCTCGGCACATCCTGCCTCTGCCTTCACCTGGCCAGACTCCCAGCATCCCACATTATTATTGCAAACGTAACAGTCCACCACGATCCCACAAGTCACCAGCTAGGAGCACTCCCTGTGTGCCCGGCACTGTGAGCTACACATCTTGAATGCATGATCTCAATCTCTAATCCCTTATCATGACCTTAGGAGACAGCTACTGTTATTCTCATTCACAGATGAGGAAATGGTGGCTCAAGATGAAGTAACTTTCCCATGGGATGCAGCCAGTGAATGACAGAACCAGGATCCGAACCTGAGTTTGACGCCAAAGTCCAAAGTCTTAACTCATAGTGCTGCATCCCCAGGAATGACCCTGAACGCTCAGCACTTCGTCACAAGCCCCCGGCTGAAGGAGATAACACTCAGGAAGTACGCCCAAAGGACATGCAGTCCACCCAAGTCTCTGAATAAAACTGTTTGAAAGCCTGATCCTTGGACCCACCACACAGCAGCATTTGTTGTTTGCTGTTTCTTTGACATGAATTGTCAAGGTCGTCAGCTTCTAGTGCCGGCCTCACAAAAGCCGACTGTCTGAGCTCATTAACGTGCTCATCCTGACCTGTTGTTGAGCCCACTGTTGATTCCATCCCGCGCCATCCCTCCACAAAGATGCGCAGGAGAAACTTCTCTTTGGAGTGAGAAAGCTCCACTTCTCTGAGGGGTGTGTTTGTTTCGATTTAATAGAGGCTTCAGATTTGGTGCCCGATCACTACCCGAGTGGCCTCCCTCGAGCCGCAGACACTCATCTTCGCGCTGGATGATTCTGCAGCTTTCCTCCCGCTCCCCTCCCCGCCATCCCTTCCCCGCTCTTCTTTAGCTTGGTTTCCTCAATTATTTATTCTGTCCTTTAATTTCTATATCTTTTTCACTTCAAGTCCTTTGGAAATCAAGGGTGGTGGCAATTAATCAATTCAATGTGGCTGTATCCTATATAATAAAAGGCTAATATGCAAATTGTCCCCTTGTCCGGGAGTTCGACTGGGAGTTCGACCAGGGGGCAGGGGTGACCAGCAAACTGCCCACGGCCCCTCCCCCTGGCCGGTCCCGCCCCAGATCGGCCCCCCCCCCACCCTAATCAGGGGTGGGGCCAGCCAGCAACTGCCTGCAGCCCCTCCCCCAAGCCTTACCCCCTATTGGCCAGCCCACCAACCACCCGCAAACCTGCCCCCCCCGCCCCCCCAGCCAGCCCCACCCCTGATCACCCCCCCCACCTGGATCAGGGGCGGGGCCAGCCGGCCAACCTCCCGTGTCCCCTCCCCCCCAGTCAGCCTGGCCTGATTGGCCCCGATCAAGGCAGGCTGGCCAGACCCCACCCGTGCACGAATTCGTGCACCAGGCCTCTAGTTCATAATAAAAACCTTTTTTTTTTTTTAATGAGCTTTTCATGACAATGGTAACTCCTCCAGGAGGCTTCTCCTTGGGAAAGTCAGGGAGAAGCTGGGAGTCGGAGTCTGAAGGGGCCTTATGAGACTCATCGGAGATGGGCAGCCAGCTCTTACTAGGCCCACTACTCCTGCTGCGAAAGAACCACCGCCGCTGTAGTAAACACGGGACATGGGTGAGAACGCTGACATCTGCTCCTTTCTCCTTAATGACTTAGTTACAATTTTCAGAGTCATATGGGAACCAAAAGGTCTCCTCTATCTTTGTCACATAGAAGGAGGTATTAAAAATAAAATTATTTCATGTTACCTTCTTGCTCAATCTGACTCAGTGGCTTCCTAGAACGTGTGGAATAAAATCCTAACTGATCACTGTGGCCTCCGAGCCTGTGTGGATCTGGTTCCTGCCTGCCCACCCCCTAACCTCACCTCCCACGGCCTCAACCCTCGGCTTCCAGGGAATCTGAGCTTTTCCTGATGGCTGTCCCCTATCTACTTCACATCTGCTCATATCGCAGCGGTTATTTTGACTCCACAGAGAGAAGGAAGACATCTGTAAGTCAGACCTAGTGCCTTCAAGAGCTGGAGGCAGAGGCTGCGCCCCGTTCTGCGCTCCATGGAACGTGACGGAGGCCCCAGCTTCTCGCGTGTCACACTCACCTGTCTGTACCAGGTACTTGATGCTGACTTCATCCACTGGGAAAAAGGCAGCGGTTGCACCATACTCTGGACACATGTTGGCAATCGTAGCTCGGTCAGCGATGGACAACTGGGCTACTCCTGGCCCGAAGAACTCGACAAATTTTCCCACTACCCCAACCTGGCGGAGGTGCTGAGCGGCAGAATGGAAAGGAGTCAGAGTGGACAGACCACATCTAACATGCAGAACTATCACCGTATCATCACCTTACAATCCCTACAGACTAACACGGATAAACAGAAACAGGAAGTTAGCTCAACATGTTTTTGATTACTTTAAAAAATAAACCTTGAAAACTAATGCCAACTGAATATAACACGGTATCCTGGAAGCTGAAACAGAAAAGGGACAATACCAAAAGCACAGGCGAAGTTTCTGCTCGGCTAACAGTGCCATTCGTAACAATGTCAGCATCTTTATTTTGATGAACGCACTACAGTTATGCCAGGTAGCATTTGGGGAAGCCAGGAGAAAGGTAACAGGAGCTTTCTGTATCATCTTTACATAAACTCTCCTGTAAATCTAGAATTATGTCAAAACCGTTCAAAAAAGTAATGCCATAAACACAAAGAAAAATATTAAGAAAAGGTTTTAAAAATGTGAAACACTTTTTCTGTGATGAGATCACTGGAAATGCCTGGAAGTGCTAAAAATAATTTTTTTTTTTTACTCAAATAAATGATGACTTGAATAAGTAAATGGCTATTTTCAAGTGTAAAATGAACAAATTTCCTAAACACAGGTACAAGTCAAATGTAACCAAAAGATCCAGTCTGACTCCCCTATCTTTTCCAAGCGAGGCACTGGCCCTACAGGAAGCCAGTTTCAGGAACTGTGGACAAACACAGGGACAGGCTCTTTGGTGACGTGAAATTTTGCCACATTTTGTGTGCAAGCCTTACATTATCCCACATTTGAAGAACAATGCACAGACATCTATGATAAACTAGTGTGTTCAAATAAATCCAATTCCAAATTCCATAGAGATTCCATCAAAGGAAGACTTTTCCGGGCCTTCCCAGTATAGCGTCCATCCCAAATACCCCAAGCCTCCAAACTTACAACCAGAAAAAGTTATGTTTGTGATAATAAGTCAATCACTTTTCCAATAACCTTTCAAAATAAAACTGCTTTCTTTTTTCAAAGCAAGTAAATCACATAAAAAAGATTATTTCCTAAAAGGACTAAAAGAAAAAAAGGGAAAAAACCAGTATTTTCCAGTTTAGAAAAACATCTTTACAATAATGTAACTTATAGTACAGAGAAGGGAATTTAAAAAGCCCAACATTAGTCACAGAAAAAGTCTGTTATTTACATTTAAGGAAGAACCAAGGGGGAAATGTAGTAGAAGTGTAATCAAATGCAAATGAATGATTCTTACAACCTCAGGGTAGTCGCTATTTCTGGGATCAGAGAAGATAGCTTAAACTGTAAGTATTACACTTCATTTCTTAAAACATACAGAGAGAGCTCTGAAGCAAAATGTTACCATCTGTGAAGTCTATGTGGCAGGCATATGAATATCATGTTCACTTCTCTGTATTTGAACCATTTCACAATTTCAAAAGAAAAAGATCCAGCCGGCCGGTGTGGCTCAGTGGTTGAGCACCCACCTATGAACCAGGAGGTCACAGTTTGATTCCCTGTCAGGACACATGCCTGGGTTTCAGGATCGATCCCCAGTGAGGGGCATGCAGTAGGCAGCTGATCAATGATTATCTCTCATCATTGATGTTTCTATCTCTCCCTCCCTCTTCCTCTTTGAAATCAATAAAAAAATATATTTTTTTAAAAAAGAAAGAGATCCATGAGGCAATAGAACAGGAAAATGAACATAATTACCTAAGACTTAACCACAGAACTATCCCTTATCCCATCCATTGCATTTTAAAATCATCAACATACGGTTTTCTAGCATTTCCAGAACACACGGAGGCCAAGAGGGACCCATCATGTATTTTCCCTGTTTGTCACTGTGACTCTCCAGGACCACAGAAGAGGCAGCGTCTGTTACCTTGGTGATGGTCAGCACGATGTCAGTGGATGTGACCAGAGGGTGAGGATTTCCCATCAGCCTGTAGCCAATCACCTGGGGAAGCACCATGCTGATTGGCTGACCCAGCATGACAGCTTCTGCTTCGATGCCACCCACACCTGCAAGGAGTGGCATGACACAAGAATGCTTTCATTACTTCTCACCGTATCCCCAGGCAGAATTCAGGGTCATTACCAGGCAATAAACCCAGTTACAACGCTACTAGTTACTAGTACAGAGTTATGCTTCTAAAAGGAGCAATTATCTTCTATCTCCCTCCACAGACTTTTTAATGAGTGTTTCTTCAAGTGTGGTCCCCAAACATGTGTATCAAAATCCCCTTGATTCCACACCAACTGGACGGCGGGGGGTTCAGGAACCTCCACTTGTAACACACCCCCCAGGTGATTTTCACTTCTTCTAAACGATCCTGACCCCTATTCCAGTTCACTCTTCCAAAGAAAGGCCCCAGGCATTTTTCTGGGCACTGGAAATACAGCAGCAAACAAAGCAGGCAAAAACACCTCTCCGATTCTTGTGGTCACACAAATTCATGCTACTGGGAAGTAATGGTACCAACATAAACGGACGCACGAGCTATAGGACGGAACATACGGAGATCACTCACCCCACCCGAGAACGCCCAAGCCATCGATCATGGTCGTGTGCGAGTCCGTGCCCACAAGGCTGTCTGGGTAGTAATATCCGTCCTGATCGAATACCACTCTGGCCAAATACTCCAGGTTCACCTGGTGGATGATTCCCGAGCCAGGGGGAATGATCCGCATGTTGCGAAAAGCCTGAGAGCCCCACTAGGATGGAAAAACAGGAAGAACACTCTGAATGCCGAGGCGCTCCTGGGCACCTCTCCCTCGTACCCACACACGGAAAGGATCAACCATGGAGCAAACTCTGCCCATACCTTTAAAAACTCAAATCGTTCTCGATTCCTTTCAAATTCCAGGTCTTGATTCTTCTGTAAACTGTCTACCCTGTCAGAGAGAAGAGTTAGAATGTTACTTGTCAAATTTATTGGAGATGAATAAACAAAATGGTGATTTTATCTGCAGGCCTGCTGGGTAGTAGTATACATTCATTCACATGGGAAAGGAAAGGTAATTAACAAAAGTAAAAGAACAATTATTTGATGAAAGTGATGCCTACAATCCCTTTAAACATGGTGGGTAGAAAATGTTAAGTGAATTTAAGTTTAAACTAATTCAATCACAATGTGTGACACATAGGAACAGACTCTAGGCATTTCTGATGACACCAGCAGCTTAGATATTTAGAGAACCCTTGTTTCTCTACTCCCTGCTCATCCACAACCTCATGACAACTCCTCTCTGGGCTGAGCCATGGCTGGGCTGGCATTTCCATCTGTTTATGTTGGGAGACAGGGAGCAGCCGGTGCCAGCAGGGACAGGCATTTACAGAATCATAATCCCTTCTCTCGCGAACAGAGGTCTGTGAAGACGATGGGGCCACCCAAGAACGTCTGTAAAGCTTAGGCTACAGGCCGAGGTTTATTCACAGTCACTCAGTCCTTCGGGAATGACACCGGCCACTCAGGGCATCAAGAAACTTTCCCAGGGTTTTTGTAATCAAACTACATTGTGTTGAGTCAAGGTAGAGTAACTCATCGTTGCAACTTTGTGGGTTTGGCACACAGGGGGCGCTAATAAACTCTATATCAGTGGTTCTCAACCTTCCTAATGCTGTGACCCTTTAATACAGTTCCTCATGTTGTGGTGACCCCCAACCATAAAATTATTTTCGTTGCTACTTCATAACTGTAATTTTGCTACTGTTATGAATCGTAATGTAAATATCTGATATGCAGGATGTATTTTCATTGTTACAAATTGAACATAATTAAAGCAGAGTGATTAATCACAAAAACAATATGTAATTATATATGTGTTTTCCGATGGTCTTAGGTGACCCCTGTGAAAGGGTCGTTCGACCCCCAAAGGGGTCGCGACCCACAGGTTGAGAACCGCTGCTCTATATCCCAGATTGCGGGAACATGGGAAAGGATAGTAAAACTAGTAGCTAAGACCCAAGGATGACCTCATTAATAGTTAACACTTACTGACATTCCTAGGAACCAGCCCTTCTCTACTCCCTTCTCATCCACAACCTCATGACATGAAAATGAAACTATTCTACATGTTTTATTTTTCTCATTTAGTCTCTATAATGACTCTTTGAGTTGGCCCAAGTAATATCCACATTTTCCAAGAGGAAACTGAGACACAGAGAGGGTAAAAGCTTGCTCAGGACCACACAGCTAGTACAGGGTGGAACTGGAACTCAAACCCGAGAGTCTGACTCCAGTATCGATGCTCTAAATCCCTATGCCGCGCTGCCTTCCCGTAGCTGCTGCTACGGAAACAGGAGCCGTCACAGCGGTCGCAGGAATGACCGCAGCCAGCACAGTAACAGCAGGAGCTAAAGTCTAGGATTATGTCACCGGTGCCAAGTGTGAACTCACTCACCTGGCACAGGCACTACTGTCACCCCAACGTGCAGAGGAGGAAGCCGAGGCCCAGGAAGTTTCGGTAATTTGTCCAAGATCAGATGCAGGTAAGTCACAGAGCTGAACCCAGGTCTGAAGGTCCTGGGGCCTCACCTTAACCCCCACACCCCTCATCCGCCCTTTTCCCTCACTTACTGGTGACCTGCAGAGCCCACCTTGTGCCGCAGGTACTCAAGGGACACAACGTGCAAAAGCAGCATGTGCACCGGCCCCTGGGAGCCCAGAGCCTGGGAAGAGGCAGAACTCAACCAGGTGCTTACAGGAGTGACCATCAGTGCTGTGATTCGGGAAATATGCCCGCCATGCCGTGGGCACTCAGAGTGGGCTCAGAAAGGCCTTCCCAGTGGGAATGTCATCGAAGTAGTCTGAAGGGGGAGGGGAGGGGAGGGGAGTCAACCGGAGACAAACAGGCAGGCACTCTTCGGGACGAAAAGAGCTGGAGGCACTTATTTACTCTACAAAAACCACACTCAGTTACCCCCTTTTTCTCTTGATGTGAATATCCTCCAAGAACCGTGCTGGTGGCTTTAATGGAATTAATCCCTGGAGAGCCTTACCTCGGGGGTCCACACACCACAGCCCATAGGCCAAACGCAGTCCAACACTTGTGTGTGTGGCCTTCAAGCAGAAAATCATTTTTACATTTTTAAAGGCTGAAAAAAAATAATGTGAGCAGAGACAGTATGTGGCCAGCAAAGCCTGAGCTACTGACCCTTCACCGAAGTTTGCTGATGCCTGACATAGGGATGAATGTCTGGGAAGGTGTGTGTGTTCGAGAAAGGCAGGAGGAAGGAATGGAGAGAGGAGACCCAGGACAGTGGAGCAAGGCAGGACCCCACTGCTGGCCAGGGGCAGCTGTTCCCCAAGGCACTGTCTCCTTCTCACCCGTACACCGAGGGCTCCATCCTTCCAATTCCCACCTGTCTCTTCAGGTCCAGACCCACAGGCCCAATGTATCTGGGGCATCTGTGTCAGGAATACAAACTGAATGCGCAAACCCTAATGCTTGGCCTTTCCCTGAATCTTGTCCTGGTCTGTCTGTGCTTACTAACGACCTCCTGTCCTACCCCTGAGCAGCTGTGGCTATCAAAGTCTTTATTCCAGAAATAGCCTCCACACTGGTTTCCCTGTCAGCCTAGTCAATGTACCTTTTGTAACGTCATCAGAATGTTTCCTAAAATAGTTCATGCCCATCTTTAATCTGCCAATGACTTCCCATCTTTTAAATAATATACAAATTTCGTGCTTTGAAAAAATACTTCCATCTATCCTCAGCTTTTCTTTGTAAGCCCTCTCCTATCCTGCAGTGCAAACTTTCAGCTTCACACACACCGGAGCCCTCACCCTCTCCCCAACCCCTCCCTGTCCTTGCGCCTTTGCACACTCCCTTCTTTCAGAGTAGACTGCTTTTCCTGGCTCTTCTCTCTGAGATAATCACCCCGCAGGATCTGACTAGGGACACTGCTTGAAGGACCTTCTGCCAGCCCAAGTCAGGATGATCTGACCCTGGCTACATTCACTAACTGCATTAACGTTGTGTGTTTACTAATCTCCTCTTCCAAGCTAACCTGTTTCTTGAACAAATTCTGATACATAGTAGTTCTGTTAAATGGGTTTAGCTAAAAACAACAACAACAACAACAAAAAACAAACAAAAACAAAAAATAAATAAACATCATTCTGAATCACAGGCAGCCCCTGCCTCTGGCACCCCGTCACTTCCGCTCTCTGACCACCTGTGACCTAACTCCCAGTCATTAGCTTTGTCCTCCCGTCTGCAGCACCTGCGGGTATCAGAGCTCCTCACAGCAGAAGCAGGGATGGAGCGGAACATGCACCCAGAGAATGCTGGGAACGTCAGGTCAGTTTGAGATAAACAACACATTTACAGGACAAGAGGAAGTCAGAGCTGCTTAGGCTATTTTATGATACATTAATTCCAGGTAAAACCCTATTTTTTTCATGAAACAAAACATCAATTGTGCTTACCTTGGCTCAAGTAACTTAGTTCTATTTAGGAACATAAATAAACAGACCTAGGATTCAGATTTTTGCACCACTCAGAATGTCCCCAAATTCACCCAATCTTAGTGAGCTTTTAGTAAGGTCTCTGAATGTGGTGGCCTCACAGACTAAAGAGGAAATTCCTCATTAGTTACAGAATTTGAATTCAGATTTGGATGGCCTTCAAAGTTTCTGAGGATTATATTTAATGGTACTCCAGAAATTCACAAACAGTGAAGATAAGTTTTCACACTCACGAAATCTGGTTGGAAATTATTATGATATTCTTGTTGGGATTTTAAAAAGAGTTTTTCTAAGATAACTTTGTAAAACCTTACAATAATGTGTTAGTTAGATCCTTACTGCCTAAAGATGATGTGAGGCGAATTAATATTATTCAAACCAGGCAAAGAGCTGGGAAGTATTTAACTGAGAAAATTTACCACCCTACCACCTCTACCCCGTTTTTCTACTTCATTTCTGCAAACAGCTAGAAATACGCCCACAGCACACAGTTCCACAAAGATTGAGACATATCCCATTTGATTCCTTACAAAAATGAGGAAAGAGAATAGGAGGTCAAATTGCAAAACCGAACTCAAGAAATAAAACAAAACAACACCAATGAAAATACTTCTAACATAAATGTTCTGTTTAATTACAAAAAAACACACAGGTCTGCTAGATTTGGGTGTCAATTTAGAATCATAGTTCACCTTAGATTTGCTGTTTTCATAAAAATATTTTTGTACTACAGTGTAAATGGAAATTCCCATAAAAAATTAAAATCAGAGTTGATGATGTCAAGGTTTAAAAAATAAAAAAAAATCACACTGAACTTGGTGATAACCAAAAATCATTAATTGCTTAAGTCAGGAGCTCTATGAATTGTGAGGAAAGACTTCAGACATTAAAACAATTGCAATTCTGTCTCCACCAGGCCAGCAAAATGAGGTAAATCCATCCACAATGAGAGTTTCCAAGAAAGATCAAGTTGGCCATGAATTTGTGAGGCTACTTTTTATGGCTTCTGAAGTGGGACTGTAGGAAAACATCATTAATCTCCAATAGGATATTTTGTGTATATATTTTTAACTCTTCCTTTGAAATCAAACATTAAATTAAGCTCATGTTATTTAAGAGGGGGGTGGGGGAGGGACATGTTGCCTAAGGATGGGTTTAAGAGTCCAAAGGAAAGGAAGAGCTGGCAAGCATCCAGTCTGTTTGTTCCAAGAACTGTCAGTTATGGACAAAGCAGATTTCTCTTTACCTTGGATTTATCTGGTTTGGATATTGGCAACACCAACTGGAGAATGACCAGTTTCTACATTTCTCTTGAGGCTGTATAGAACCTGCTTAAATCCCCAAAGAAGCAAATAATGGTTCCCTTTTTCCCTTTGGATTGTTTCATATTCTTAAATATCTTATTATAAAACTAGAAGCTCA